ATACGATTGACAGAAATTTTTCTAGTTGTTAAATAGAAAAGTAAACTAAAATAAAAAGGGAAATAAATATAAATATAAAGTTATCATACGTTACCTAAATTATTAAATTGTCAACAGGTTTAAAACCTCATCAAAAAGTTTATATGCTTTAACGAAGAGTATTAAAACCTTTTTGGCAGTCATGTTCAAGTTTACGACTTTGACTTGGCGCCATCGTTTTTACAGTAGTTCAACTGGCTGAACTAAGCCCATTGACCACGCCCACAGCCGCCTACTTATTTGAAAGTTTGGGCTTTTTGGTGCCTACTCAACCGAAAACCTGAACTAATCTGTTTTGTGTGTTGAGTGTTGCAAGCGATTTTAAACGGCTAAATCCGAGATTAGGGCCAGCTCTTCGATTTAGCCAAAGGGGATACGGCACCTAATTCAACTGACTTGGCCAATGGGCCAGGTAAAAATGATTGAGCAGCTTAATAAATGATTGATTGATTTTTTGGTATGTGGGCCTAGATTGGATCTATAATTGAATTGTAATGATGGGGTGAGTTCGGTAATGTTTACAATGAATTTTGTTTGTTATTTTTTCCTTGCTCAATTTTTTACGAAAACGAGAATATTAAAATTGTATTGAATGTTTTTCGAGTTTGTTAATTTAAAAATTAAATTCTTGATATCAAAAAATAATAGAATGCTTATGATATGGCATTCACAATTATAAATCTGTTTTAAACATTTTGCATGGAATTAGCCGTTAAAAAGTTAAAAACGTAAAGTAACACATTTTTTGGTCTACTGTTTGAAATTTTCAATTGCTTTAAATAGCTAAGAAAGGAAACTGTAACGATGGTTAAATGCCTTAGTTTGCATGTTCCTTGTTCTTTCTCCCATTTAACGACCTGTTTTCCTTCTCTTCTTCTCTGTTGCTCGACAATTACGATCACACTCTCTGCCCCTCGGCCACTTTTGGCCAATTCAAATCCAACTTTCCCATAAGCCAAATAGATGCTCCACAAAAATTTCACCTAACTCAGACACACACAATTGCACAGAAGGAAAACGGAGGAAAATGCGGCGAAACTAAAAGTAACCTCTTCCCATAAACGCGTCGAATGGATACGGAAACTGGACTTTTTTCGGGAATTTTCGCCATGGGAAGCTGGGAGGAAAATCAAATCAATATTGGTTCTGGCCCAAAGGTCTTTAGCAGTTCTCTGGAATTGCCTGGGAGCGAACGTTAAGCTGACACAATAACAAAACTTTGTTGCTGCAGGAAAACGATTTTAGTTTCTGGCCATGGTCAAAATAGAGGAAGGTTGTTGCTAAAAATGGGATTGCAAAGTAAAACAGGTCATACATATTAATATTATAAGAAACTTAATTTCTATTTTAAATAGTTCATCAAAAAGGTTTTTTTAGATATTGATACATTTAAATTTTATGTGCTAATAAACTACGAAATTCAACATCAAAAAAACAATACTGTAAGATTTGCAGAAATGTCATAAATACGAAATTACTTAAATAAATATTAAGATTTAATATTAATCAATTTCACAAATCCGATTTTATTTAAAGCCTCAAAACCAATTTCCCATTGTACACCTCGTTTTGCGAGAACCCTGCACACATTCAATTTAATGTCGGAAAAGCTCTTGCCATTACTTTGCAAATCCCCTTTGGAAAATGACAACAACTACAACGGGGCGCACACACATACACATTTGTGTGTGGATGCTTGGTATCTATGAGATACTTTTTTTTTCTTTTCCATTTCTTTGGGGGAAGTTTTTGGGTACAAAGAAAGCGTCAGGGCTGATAGGCAGCCAGCGGCGTATTGTTTCAGCTCATAAACTATTACATAAAAAATTGAAAGCCGGCAAAAAGTGAGAGGGAGACGGCAAGAGGCGGTAAAAAAGAGAGGAAAGGTGTAGTAAGGTAACAAGAAATTTGTTCGAAGGAGAAATCATTAAAGACAAAGTTGCAGATAGAGAAGGCGCTATACGTTTTTTTTCCTTGTGCAGCGGAACAAAAGCAACAAAATGCAAAGTTGCTGATAGGAGAAAGAGAAAGAAAAGGAGACAAAAGCCAAGTGAATGGTGCAGTACACCGAAAAAAGTGTAGATATTTTTTAATTAAAAAAAAAATATTTGAAGAGATATTAAAGATTTAATATCACTTACATATATCTATACAAGAATATCAAGATAAAAACTGTTTTTATTTTTTACAACAGTGTTTCAGACATATTTTTGAATGTTTTTCAAGACTTGTAAGAAATGAAGTTGGAATTTTTTTTTTTTGATATAGTACTCTATTTTATAGACAGTTTTATATTACAATGTACGTGATTTTTTTCTGTGTAATTTGGGGGGTTGGGAAATCGCTATGCGGTGATATGCTCAGGCGATATCACCAAACCAAGGCGCTGGCCAACAACAACAACAACAACAACAAAGCCAAATTGAGCCCGAGTTATGTTTATGACAGTTGTCAGTTATTGTTGCTGTTGCTGTTGTTGTTGTTGTTGTCGTTTTCGCCACTGCTTTCCATTTTGGTTGCCTTCGTATTATTCGCATATGTTTGAGTGTGTTTGAAGCGAATGCAAATTTGTGCAGCGATGCGTTTTGCCAGCGTTTAAAGTCGCGCGTGAAAGTCAACAGAGTCGAACTCCGAGTTAATAATAGTTTACCCCTCTCCTGTCACTCGAAATTGTTAATGATCGGGATGATGAAGAAGGCGTGAAGAAAGATCTCGAGATGGTGTAGAAATATAGTTTAAAAGCAAATACCGAAAAATTGAGAATTGAAGTTTTTAGCTCCAATATTATAATCATAAGTACTACATGTTTAAATTTGTAAATTAAAACCTTTATTACAACGTTTTATAAAAACAAACTAATAAAAACAAAAAAATATATAAAGTTAATTAATGATATAAAACGGAAGAGTATGAATTTCTGAATCAATATTTCTCCAAATTAAATAATTTTGCATAATTATTAATTGAGTTCATTTGTGCGATCTCAATTGATTTATTTTTAATGCCAATTAGAGTCCATTCACCAAATCTGTGACCAATTTCGCCTGTCCATACAGTTTTCCCAAGTTTTTCGTCACAGTTGTTTCCAAACTGATTTTCTCTCCGCAATCGCTGCTCTAATGTTTCGCTGCGGTTGAAATTGTTTTTAGCCATGGCTTTTGCAATTGTTGCCAAGCAGAAATCATTTCCAAAGGCCATTCAACGGATCGGCGGCACTGAGTGTGTTGTTGTCCATTGGCGTGAAATTTGTGTGAATAACTCAAATAGCCAACTACAACATCGCCGCCGCTTTTCACTGTGCGATCCAAACTATGCCTATGAACGGGGTCTGGGTCCGGTCTCTGGCCGTGAAACTGCCGTCAGTTTGCCCGTTTCTCACATTGTCAGTTTGCCAGTTTCTCACTCTGTCAGTTTGCCAGTTTGCCAAGCAGAAGCGGCAGCGACAGCGGCACATGGGCTTTTCGCCTTCAACTGGGCCCAGTCCGTCCTCCATTTGGAGATTATGCGTGACTATTTATTGTTTCAGCTCGAATTGTTTGGATGTTTGAAGTTGGAAAACAAACCAAGAGAGATTAACGTCCTGTAAATACTCTTTCGATGATTGTGGAAGGCTCAGCGAAAGAACTCATACGAAAATTAGTTAAATAATATTTTGTATGCTACTTATAGATTAAACTTTACTATGGAAAAAAAGGTTAAAATTTCAATAAAATGTTTAAAATGGTAATCCCTTGAGTGTTTGGGTTGTATACTTTTTTTTAAAGTTAAATAAAGAGTGTAAACTCCAATCTCCATCTAGTTACAAAATATTTAATAATAATTTGTTAATTAATGAAATAAATTTCTAGAAATTAGCCTTCCAATTTGGGAACTTCCTCTTACAGTGTTATTTTGAATAGGGCATAACAAGCTGCGGGTCTAACAAGCCATAGGCCAGTAACACGAAGAAGCTTAAGTCAAGATGAGACCCTCAATATGGCCAAAGTAAACTCAACTTTCGATGGTTTTTGGGCTAACCAAAGTCGTGGAAAATGCTGGTGTGTGCGAGAGGGTCTCCATCGGGCGATGGCGATCAGATGGAAGCCATAACCGGGCATGATGCCCTAAAAGTCGCACATGACAAAAGCCAAAGGCCCGAGACGAAGATAGACGACAAATGGACAGCTATGGGCCAACGCCTAGGCCGAAATGACAAACATCCCCGCTTCCCTTTCCCCCTTCCCCTATATCGCGATATCTATATATCTTTCTCTATAGCGAGGGGACCCTGTCAACTTTGACGTGTGTTGTGTGATGTCTGGTTGGACTGTTGCCATTGATTTATGGCGGGATTAATATCACAACTCGAATGTATCTCTTTTTTTTTTTTTTGTTAATTTTGTACCTTTTGCCTTACCTTTTTACACACATTTGAGTTCATGTAGATTTCTAAATGGATTTCAACTTTGGGCTAATTTCACTTTGGCATGTCGTCGTCATCATCATCGTCACAAAATGATTTCATATTTTTTTTTACGATATATTGCCCCACCAAAACGTTTCTTTCGTTTCATTTTGATTCGGTTCGACGAGCGATTATTGATGGATACTTTACTTTGTTGAGGATTTTCAGAGATTCTTCGTCTAAAGCCTTTTTATGTTTTTGAGTTGAGATTCTGAGAATACGATTTGGGTTATGAATCATTTAGGGTTTTAAGACATTTATTATCTCGGCTAATTTTTATTGGATTCTTAAAGTTGTTCTTGAATGCATAGATCATAAATCTTTGAGTCCTGAATGAAGTGAATTTTAGGGCCATCAAATCTGACAAGAAGGCAGGTAATTATAGAAGTTATAAATGAAATACCTTGAAATCCCTTAAATAGCCTACAAATGGCTTAGATTTAGTATTTATCAAACCAAATATAAATTTTAATAATCTGTGTATTAATAGGATTTTATCTCTTTTTTATCGTTACAGGTATGTAATTGGGCGCCCTAAAATGCCTTTTCTTTAAACTTTAAAATACAAGTCGGCCTTTTTAAGTCAAGGATACGTTTAAGAAAAAAACACACGTTCTCCATGCCGCGTGAGTAATTATAATTTATTTAAATCGATTACGACGCATTGCGAGACAAAAGGAAACTCGATCGATTCGAATCGATCCGATCTCGTCTCGGGTGACCCATTTTGGAGGCCCAAGCGCAATTATTCATTTATAACGACTCTAAAAAAATGTCCGAAAAAACGAGCCGATAAGCAAACCAGTTGCTTCGATCCATGCGTGCCCTAAATATCTAGAGTTATTCAGATATGTAATGAGGGAAGGTTTAAAAACTGATGGTCAAAGACGTAATTTGCTTATCTTAACCAGACGATGTAAGATAATATAGAAGTAGAAATCTCCTTCTTTATGGGAATAAAAACCATATTTTTTGATGTGTAAGAATACTGGCCTCTAAATCTCAATCATAAAAATATGAATTTATTTGTTTTTTCAAAGTCGCAAATTATTGGGCCTAAATATTTATATTTTTTAATCAATATTCAAAATTACCTGAAGCCAATTTCGTAGATTTTTTTGTGATAAAAAGGCTTAAGCCTTGGGGTTTGCTCAAAAGACATAGAAATATACAAGGGCGCGACTGAGTCGCTTCTCCTGCGGCATTAGGTAATCGCATTTCGGCCGAAAGCCACAAAAATTGGGTCAAAATTTTCACTCGAAAACTTTTGCCTCTAATTTGACAGACGAGCGACCGCATTTTGGTGGCATTTTTCTGAAAACCCAACCATTTTTGTTTTATTTTTCGTTTCCTCCTTGCTTCTACCACTTTTGTAAACTCTCGCGTTTACAATTTTAATTGCGGATGCGCACACTTTCGTTTTCGTTTTATTGTTTTTTTTTGCTATTGTTGTTGCTTTTGGCCTCTGTATATTTGTTGTTATTGTTGTTTTTGGTTGTCCCCCACGCATTAAAAGAGAGGCCTACGGATAGTCCGGCGCTCTTTTTCTTCAACTTTGGCGTCTGTGCGACTTCATTTTTTTTACTTTACCTTTTTTGCGGCTTTCCAAAAAAAAAAAAAAAAAAAAACTGATGAAAAAAAATATATAACCGCAGCTTACAGTTTCACTTGAGGGAAATCGCACCTCTCCCGCCCCTTCCGCCCCCTTCGCTGACTTACCTCACCTCTGTTATGACATAACCCAACTTTGCCGCTGCTGCTGCGACTGTGGAAAGTTAAACAAATTTTGTTTGTCGTCCGCTTTGAAAATTTTGCAACTTGGAAAGTTTTTTCTGAACACCGCAAGAAATATCACCAAAATTGGTTACGAATTGCCAAGCTTTTGGCAACCTAATTGGTGGACCTATATGGAGTTTAAATGGGTCATGTTATATTTTATATTTTTATATTTTAAACATATATAGTATTGCAACATTTTGAAAACCAATTGCTATATCTCTCGACATTAAAGGCTCACTAATGTAATTTTTCTCACTTATAAAGTTACAAAGTTGGGGAAATATCCACTAGAAATGAATATCTTAAATAATCAAATGGTTATAAAAAAAGGAGTATTGAAATGGTGATTTGTTTATTTTCGCAGTGCATCTGTTGTTGTTTCTGGGGCAGCAAATTGAATTTCACATTAGTTGCAGTTGCAATTACCCCGCCGAAAAATCGAGAGCTGAAAAGGAGAAGAAAAATTGTGCAACGCGGTCGCACATTTAGAAAGTATCATACGAAGATCGATGTGGGCGCCGATTTACACTACTCCCCTTAAACTTTCATTTAAATAAGCCGCTAACAGAAAGCACACACAATAAATTGAGATACATTTTCAAAAATGTATCTCCGGCTAATAATAATAATCACTTAATTTGAACGCTAATTTGTGACTGCTCTGCGGCAGCTTCTTCTCTAAATCGGGGTCTTCCATTCACTTAATGACTTTCTTTCTTAAAACGATCGGAGATCGCTGGCCGTGGAAGGTGAACTGATTTTTTTTCTTCGGGCAAAGTTTGCTTTTCCTCCCAGGGAAATTATGCAAAAAACAATGGCCAGTCCAAAGAAAAGTTGAATGCAAATCGTCGCTGTTCATTTGAACAATTTCATTTGGGTTTTGAAAGTTCAGCCAGGGAAATTTATGTGCTGGCCAGAAAGCAAAAAATACAAAATTGGAGAGATGAACAACAAAAAGTTCCCGAGGGTCTTGTAACAATGCGGGCAGTTCATTTTTTATACACTACATTTTCCTTCGCTGGGAGGGGATTGGGTTATTAGGGGGCGTGGCCTAACCAAAAGTGGGTGTAAAGTGTGGGAGAGACGGGTTTAAGGGTCCATGACATTTCGACACGAACATTCGTGTCTCTGAACTATTGTTCACCATTTGATTTCTTGTTAAAGTAAATGTGATTTTGAGATGCATATTGGTTAGCGCAAAAACAAATTATTTTAATAAATTTTTCACCTTTCGAATTGTTATTGATAGCCTGTTGGGTTACTTTCGATTGAAGTCATTTGATAGGTCAGCCAGCAGGCGTTTGTCGTACGTATAACAGTTGTATAACACGCTGTTTTTGCGGTCTTGGGACAGCTGTGTAAAAATATTTTCACAAATATTTAGTTGCCATTGCAAAACAGCTGAAATGCTCACGTTAAGGGTCAGTTACAATATGTTTAAGCTTTTTGTATCAATTTTAATCATTACATTGAAGAACAATAGACATTTTATAACTTAAATTACTTACAAATAACTAAGTAATTTCTATAACTAAACTGTAAATATAAACACAGTTAATTTGTGTGTCATTTGACGATATAAAAGTACACAACAATTTATAATAGTTTTAAAAAAACAATTTATTCTAGAAAGTTTACTATTGAAAAGTGATCAAAGTTCCGAAACCCAAATATTTTCACACATCTGTCTACCCATTCATGAAAAAATTACAACTTTCTTGTCTTACTCTTGTATTTTGTATAACACTTCCGCAAACAAGGTGTAAAAAGACGTTTAGTGGTTCACTATAATTATGCAATTTATGCAAATGCCGTTTCATTTACACCCTTTTAACAGTTTTCACCGCTTGTGTATAACAATTGGTCAACAGAGATCCATCTGCAGCTAATCTTTAGCTTAACCGTTAGCCATTAACGCCACCCGCTGTCCCGCTCTCACTGGCGCATTACAAATTGAATTTCCATTCGCCGTGCCAATCAATTTCTCGATGCCCAGAAAGTTTTGACCCCACTTCCCTTGAGGGCAGGGCGCCGAAATGCCGGAACTATTCGTGGCCTACAAAACAAATTCATGCACTTTTCCCCCGCATCTTCAGGCTGCGATTTCACTCGAATTCGTAACACCCGACCAAAAAACCAAAACCAAAAAAAAAAAAAAAACAACCAAAACAAAACAAAGAGAAAGACCCTAAAATTTATATATTTAAAACCAAAAAGACAGAGGGAAACGAAACATATCGAAGCCACCCGCGATTTGTGTGTTGTTTATACCCAAATCTCACCCGCTATCACACACGACGACTTCGAGAAACTCTCTTTTCTCTGCTGCCCGATTATCTACACCTTTCACCTTTCACAGCAAACGATGCTCAACCTTTGTTGTAGGTCTTTTTGTTTTTATTTTCTTCTCAAATACCGCAAACATTAAATTCGCTCGGCTCTGCAGCCTTTCTAATTTCAATTGGGTTTTTAGTTTGTGCGATTGTTGTGCAATTGAATTAATTGTGGAACTCGAAGAGGCAAAACCCCGCATCTCCCTATTTCAGTTGCACACACATGTTGCACTCTTCTCTTCCTCATTCTAGGAGTGACATTTCACGGCAGCGCCCACCAAATAAAAAAACAAATAGAAAGAAAAGATACCCGCATTACATAAACGCTGCGAGGGATTTCCACACCAAAAACAAAAATTAGTTTCACCTCTTTTTCATGACTTGAGCTGTAAAAAGCGCAGCAAATTATAAAATAAGCACAGCCAAAAAAAGAGAAGCCAAAAATACAAATGAAGACAAAAAAAAAATGGACAATTTTATCTTTCAATGCGCGAGAGTTCGCCCACAGTTAGTTGAAGCTGCCGCTGGAAGTTGCAGCTGCAGTTGCATTCGCTTTTTTGGCTAACTCAGTTTTTTGGCAAAAACTGAAACCAAAATATACGATAAAGCTGCAGCAACCAATAATAAACAAGAAGTAAAGGGTAGTACTAAAATAACACGAAGAGTTGAATACCCTTCCTGACCGATTTCAAAATTTGATAGAAAAATACCTATTTTGAAATAGCTAACTTTAAAGTTTGTAAGTCAATCACATTTTTATGAAATACTTTTTCAAAAATACTTACCAGCAATAATCTTTCAATTTCAAATATGGACATTTATGAACTGATTACCATTTACCAAATGATAAACTTCGAATAAAATCTGGCTCATAAAAGTTTGTTTAACGCTTAATCTTAAAATAACAATAGGTTACACTTAAAACTTAGTCCACAAAAATGGTTTATAAAATTGTTAAACAACCAATTAATTGATTTCTGGAAAACATTAATTCAATTTCTTTTTGTTTATGGCTAAGTTGGACTGTAAATTATACTACCCACTGCATTGGGTATCCAAGAAATAAAACGGCAAAATGACAAAACGTAGCGACGCCGACCAACGTCGCCTCGTTCGTTACCTATTACATAACAACCGCGACGCGTTTTTTGTGCAAGCCTCGTCGCCGGCTTCGCAGTCGCAGCCGCAGTCGCTGTCGACGTCGCCATATGGCCCCAAAAAGGGGGCACGACAGCAGCAGAAAAAAGCAGCAACAAACGTAATAAGCGGCAAACACGAATGAGCCACAAAAACAAAATTTGGCTTAGTTTGATCGAAGCCGAAGTCTCTGAAATCCGAAGACTGCCAAAAACCGAAGACTCTCCAAAAGTCCGACTCTTTTTCCTCGGCGGCTTTCTTTTTCTTGGCTCCACACACAAAAATTGTAACTTGCATCTCTTTTTCTTTTCGGGGACTGTCCTAATTTCGCTTAATTACACATGCAACAACAACAGAAGCCAACTTCGCATATTGTGCGTAACCCTCTTTTTTTTTTTGCTCCTCATCTGCCAGACTTTATTTTAATGTCCATCTATCTGGCGGTCTCCAAACCTTTTCTTACCTTTTTTTATATAACCCGCTGCTAAATGTTTGTCCGCACACAGTTTTCACTCTTTCGTTTCGAAAATTTACGTTTATTTACAATTTGTCTTCATTTAGGGCGCCAGACGCAGACGCCCAAAATTGTATTTAATTTTTTTTTTTTTTTTTTTGGTTGTCCATTGTAATGTTAACTCTCTTAACTGGGCCTTGACGATGGCGATTGCTTTTTGGCGTTTCTTTTTCACTGTTTGCTTTTTTTTTTTACTGGGTGGCTTATTTGATCAACAGCTGATTTGAAAGTTTTCTTATGGCAGAGATAAAAAGGGAGTTTCGAAAAAATGGAATAGAAAATTTCACAACTATACAAATTTGGTTAGCCCCAACATCATTTAATTATTCCTTTCCTAAACACATTTACCTTGAGAATATAATTTGTCATTGTTATAATTCTTATCAGTTTGCCAAAATCGCCTTTTGATTACTTCAATGAAACTTCTAATCAGTAAGTAACTGAAATTTATGATTATTTTGAAGACAGCCTTGAGCTGATAAGGTGTTGTCATTCTCAAATTAATGGGAATTTCTTTTGGGGTGGACATTGTTTTCATTTTGTATTTTGAAACTTGAATATAAACACTAGACTTTCAAGTGTCCATAAACAGACTTCTAAGAGTCTTCTTTTCAAAGAAAACAAACAAAATACAAACCTTATTACCAAGAAGTCGACAACCAAATTGATAGCATCTCGAAATCATTTAACCAACCGCTTCAGACACAAAAACCACCCAAGAAGCAAACAACCCAACAACCTGTGGCTAATTTTACAGACTAATTACAAGCTAAAGCCCCATAATAAGAATGATAATAAAAAAAAAGGAAAATTAATTACCCGCCGCCTTAATCGACGCCCCGGCAAACAACCGAACCGCAGTCGAGTGTCAAAGGTCAGCTTCTTCAGGCTGAGGGAATTTAATGGAGGAAACAATGGAAAAGGGAAACCAAACCGAAGGAAGCCTTGGACTTGATCTGTTTGGATTACGGGAATGACTGAGGGCCAGGGAAAACAATTAAAGCGGAATAGCAACAGCCATAAAACCCATAAAAAGGCAAACGGGAGGGGTCATTGCGACAAACAAAACGATTCTACTTGTTGGCTTTGTTTTGCCTTTGGTTTTAAGGTTTGTTCTTGGCCGCCTGAGTTGGCCTGGCTCTTTGGCTTTTGGCTTTTGGCCAGCGTTGCTTACTTGGCTCGTTTCCAGTCAAATGTTTCGAGTTTCAAGGGTTGAAAAGAGAGGAAATACATTTTGCACTTTGATAAGACTTAATTAATTGCAAATTAATTTTTAAAGATCACAATTTTAAAAACCAATACTTAAACTTTTTTGGAACTGAAGCTTTTAATGTAATTTTGGATAAGAATAAATTTTGACTTTGAGATCTAAATGATTTATTTCCTATAAATCATTAATTTTATACGGTAACCCCCTAATAAATCCCATCTATTTATTTAACCACACAAAATTAATTAGAATCCATGAATTCAAATTAATCTTCACCATAATTAGCTAATTTAAATGCTTGTCTTGACTGCTTCCCGTAATCTATAGCGGACAGCACTGAATCTGACCAGGGTTCTGGGTTCTGGGTTCTCTGGGATCTGTGGAACCGTCCGAGCGAGACGTCTGTGGTTCCAGGCCCCGGGTTTCGAGAGTTTCAGAGCCCACCAACGCCGCTTGATGATCGTGTGTGGCAAGAATCGTCAGCCGTCGTCGTCGTCGTCGTTCTCGTTCCTCGAGAGTCAAAAACTGAGGCCGCCGCCTCACATGTTTACTTTGTTTGTCTCCCCTGTATCTTTTGTAGCGGCATGTGAGTGTGTTTAGGCTCTGCGTCTGCGCTTAACGTATACACATACTCGCACTTCACTATAAGCCATGTTTGCCCAGCTATAAACCCGAAACCACTTTGGTGGCATTTTTTATTTAAATTATTAAAAACGAAAAAAAAAAAATGAGTGAAAAAAGACGAAATTTTTATGAGACCCAGGCCAGGAATTCTTGGTGCATTTTTTTTTTGTTTATTAAGGCTCTGTCAAGTCGGCATTTGAATTTGATGCCTAATGGGTACAGTAAATGATGGATAGGTTTGGATTAAGTCGAGTTAAAATAGAACTTCTGCATTGATTAGGCTTTCCTTATTATTCTTTTGTTATTTAAAATATCAATAAAATCTTTAATGATTTATGTTTAATTGATTGATTGCAAAGATTTTATATTTTTGTCGCGCTTTTTAAAATAAAACCAATTAATTGCTTTTCAATAATTATATTTTTAATTATAAGGATTTATGTGAGTAGCCTTACAGTGTTTTAATCATGAGCAATGAGCCATTTTTTCTTCCAACATTAAGGAAATCCTTTTAGCCCGCCTTGCTCACTTAATTGATTTCCCACTGAATGAGTATTCACTGTGGTCCCCGGGTCTCTGATCGCAGGTCCTCAGGCCACACACGAAGCCCACGATGCACGCACTTCAAATTAGCCTAGCCGCAGATACACGGATACGGATTCAGATGGCCAGATTCAGATACAGATACACTTACACCATCCACACCTGGCCAATATTATGTATTAAGACAATGTGAACGCGTGTGTGTTCCGTGTTCTGAGTTCGGTGTTCGGTTTGCATTCCGCTGCTCTCCTCTTTGGGAGCTATCCATCACACATCCATCAGACAAAAGAGCAGAGGCAGCAGAAGATTGAATTATATGCCATTGAGGCGTAATTGTTAGAGAATTGTTTGCGGCCAAGAATGGAGAATGGTGGCAGAAAAAGGGGTGGTCCGCGAAGAGACCACACACGAAGAGCCTTCTTCGGTCGTCTACTGCAGGTGCTAAGGTTTCGCGGCCGGAGGTCCCAGTCAGTTTGCCTATTCGGGTGGCACCTTTTCACGTTTAATGAGCGTAAACAAACGCCGTGGGATGCGATGCACATCCAGATCCATTCCTCCTGCCACTTGTACGACTTCTGCCCGTTTTGCCATTCTTGCGGTTAGCAGCGGGATATATGCAGCATTATATTGGCTGGATAAGTCGGGTCGAGATGCCATTTTTAGCCAGGCCAAGAGAGCGAAAAACGACAGATTCATAATTTACCTTCCACACAATTACCCAAATGGAGGAACAACGACGACGGAATGGGATGTTTTGACATTTTCGTTTGAGGTTCGAGATAAGATCTGACAAAATCCCATCCTGGGTGTTCTTTCTCGTCTCGCTTTGAATGATCGCTTTGTCTCCAGTTTGGATTACCTTCGACTTTGTTTATTTTTTCCCCTGGCTTTTTCTTATTTTTTTTCTCTCCTTATTGACGGATACTATTGTGCGATGATCCCGAGTCTGGACAAATTGTGTGTTCAAAACTTTTTGCACATTTTACGACACTGTGACATTTGCAATTTGTCTTGGCTTTATTTTCCCCGAGAATCCCATTTGGACCACAGGAAATTCAATCAGCATTTGTCTTACTACCTAAACTACTTCTTCTTGCCATCTCGGAATTATTGTATAATCAAAACCACAAAGCAATACAAATTCGACCCAAGGCCAAGTGAAACTCACCGCCGCCTGGCAACACTTTTCTTTCCCCTCCCCATTAGCCGCCAATAAAAGCCGGGCCGAAATGGGTTTGGTTTTGGGTTACGAAAAAAAAGAGAAACAAACGCAAATACAAATCGAATCGGAGCATACCCGAATTGTAAATCATTTTATGATTTATCACTGAACTAGATTTCGATAGGCGCGTGACAGGGAATGGTCCGGAAAAAAGCTGATCTCTGTTACAAAACATCGCAGCAATCAACAGAGAGCGATCAAATCTCACAGATTTTGCCCAATTTCCGAACGGTTTTACTTCGGGACATAAAACAACCTCAATTAGTGTTGGATTTATCCAAAGTAAATTGGGAATAAGTGGTGCAATGATTAATGCAATACAAATAATGGTGTTAGTTGGGTGTAAGTCCTCTAATCACTTGTTTTCTTTACAACACTTATAATAGTATAGTAGTAGTTATAAATGAAGTGAAATCAGTGAATAATTGTTTTTAGAGTAAAAGTTTAGATGGGCGAAATAGGTAACATTGATAAGTTAAAGGTTATATACTCATGAAT